TTCTTGAGACTTAGGCAAGTTATGGGAAAATGAGTGAATAACTTGAGAAACTCATTCCATATACTTATAAGGAAGAATTTTACTGTTCACCCTTGGACTTTTGGCCATTAAAGTCCGCCTAATTCTACCAAACTCGCTAAACAAGCTCAATCCACTCGCAAGAACCCCACGATTCTTACAAGCTGGGGGGCTAATTGTTGGGGTCAAAATCGGTATGACGGAATCAATAGCCAAAATTCCCCGCAAAAATACAAAAGGAATAGTTTTATAAAACCTGAGGAGTCATTTTATAAAACTCGAAGATCGTTTTATAAAACTCGAGAATATTTTATAAAACTCAAGAATCGTTTTATAAAACTCGAGAAGTCGTTTTATAAAACTCGAAGATCGTTTTATAAAACTCGAGAAGTTGTTTTATAAAACTCGAAGATCGTGTTATAAAACTCGAGAATCATTTTATAAAACTCGAAGATCGTTTTATAAAACTCGAGAAGTCGTTTTATAAAACTCGAAGATCGTTTTATAAAACTCGAGAAGTCGTTTTATAAAACTCGAAGATCGTGCTATAAAACTCGAGAATCATTTTATAAAACTCGAAGATCGTTTTATAAAAACTCGAAGAATCATTTTATAAAACTCGAGAATCGTTTTATAAAACTGAAGAATCATTTTGTAAAACTCGAGAATCGTTTTATAAAACTCGAACAATCGTTTTATAAAAACTCGAAGAATCATTTTATAAAACTCGAGAATCGTTTTATAAAACTCGAGAATCATTTTATAAAACTCGAGAATCGTTTTATAAAACTCGAAGATCGTTTTATAAAAACTCGAAGAATCGTTTTATAAAAGATCGTTTTATAAAACTCGAAGATCCCAAAAAACCGAAACCGCCGCAAAACGCGAACTAGTCATGACTAGTTCGCCTGCAGGTGAACTAGAAGGTCCCCGACTAGTTCGCCTGCTGGCGAACTAAGCCAAGCTGGCATAGTTCGCCAGCAGGCGAACTAGAGATTTCCCGGACGGTTCGTCAAACCGGCGAGCTGGATCGGACCGGCTCGATTCTCCGTACGTTGAACCGACCATCCCGAGCCTTGATCTCCAGCATCCCTGATTCGAAACTTACATCATTTGACACAGTCGCATTCTGAACCACGGCCGAAATGTCTCTCGTTTCGTCTCGATCCGACTTATGGTTCGAGTTTTACGATAAAAACCGTAAATCTCCGTTTTCTCGAAAAGAACTCGAAGAAATCGTATAAAACGGTAACGGTTAAACAAGACACCGAACATCGCCTAAACTATACGATTTATCCGAGATTTTTCGTTAAAATCGTAAAAACGTATTTTTAATAAAAACATCGAGTAAATCGTAAAAAACGCGTTTTTAATACAAATGCCGAGTAAATCGTAAAAGACGAAAACAATCAACCGAGAAACAAACATTACGATTAACTCAAGAAATTTACTAAAAACGGCATCGAATCAGGAAACGATTCCGTACAAGGTCGAGAAACGGATCTATCGCAAAACGGCCCGGAAGGTCCTAAAACGCGATAAAAGCCCATCTCGTGATCTCAACAGAATCTAACCCGAAGATACTATAACGTTTTGATGGTTTACTCGCAGAAGGAAGATAAATGTCAAGTTTGAAGACAAAAGGCAAGTTTGGAGACAAATAGAAGATTTCCGCGGAAGAAAAGGAAGGATAGAGAGAAATGGAAAATTCCCGATAAACTCAGTTTCGGGAAAAATTGAAAGACTAAAACTGCCTAAGAGGGAGTATATAAGCAAGAGGGATGGGGCAGAAGCTGACACACGATTTTCAGAGCTCTCACCACCAAAAAAGTAGCATTTAGGAATATTTATGTTTTCTGTTAGCGAGCATTTTCGTTCTTAGACTTCTAGGGATTTCGCCGACGGCTCATACAGCTAAGGCTACTCTCGTTGTAACAGTTCTCACGTAGATTCGGAATAAGAACCTCTTTTCTCTCAATTTCGTTTATTCTCTTTGTAATTTTAAGTTCATCGTTTTCTTAATCTTCGTTGTGCGGTTCTGCAGATAGCTGGTTCCTCTGGAAACTTAGGGTTTTCCCGAAGTTTCCTTATTTTCGATTTATTGACAGTAGGTGGATTTCGGTTCCCACAGTCGCAATGCATATGCAATGAAAATCCTAATATGCAATCGACTCAATCCTAAAATACAAATGAGAAAAGATTCTACATGATTATTTTTTAAAAAAAAATCAAATTTTGGGAATTTTCTATGCAATAAGTATAAACAATGCAATGTATGAGATTCAATATTACAAGGAAAAAAAAGTAGAACACAAGTTGAGATAGAAGACTCTCCCCCAAACTTATTTCACACAGTCACTTGTGTGAGAGTTACCTTAAAAGAGAGATCAAAAGAGAGAAAATGAAATCTAAGTATTTACAAGGTTGAAGTATCACTTACTTGGAGATATTGGCTGAATTGGGTGGTAGAGGACCCTTGGCCTCAGACTTTTTCCACCAAAATAGACAGGCTGAAGCGGCGAGATGTGTCAAAGCTCTTTACCTAAGTAGTGAAGACCTTCTTGTCAAAGCCTGGATCACGAGGATCTTTCTCATCATAGAACCAACCTCTAAACTCACTCATTCTAATCTCCTCAAATGGTACCTTCATTGGATCATCAGCAATGAGCTTTTTGGAAGAGAGAATACCAAGATGCTTGTCAAAGGGCTTTTCTAATGGAGAATTTTCTTGTAGACCCTCTTTGGAGGCTTCTTCAGTGTAAATCACTTCATTCTCCTTAGACTCTTCACCATTTTCTTCATTCTTGGAAATAAGCTTCACATACATATGTTCCTTTGTTGAGAAATCATTCATAGCCAATGAGGTCTCTCTTGTCTTCCTTATCCATTCAACAATCAAACTATCCCCACCAAGATCTTCAAAGGACCTTCCAACCAAGCTTAGTTGTTCATCCTTTTTCCTTGTTGATTAACCCATGAATGTAATTCGTTCAACTTGCTCTTCATATCTTATCACAAGATTCTCATATATCTTGCAACCAAGGAGTGATTCAAGCTCATGTATAGAGTCTTCAGCTTCTTGTTGCAATTCACCCTTGATTCGAACATCCTCTTCAACATCATTTACCATATTCATGGTATGTTCTTCATAAGTGTTGTTGTAAAGAGGAAAGATGCTTTCTTCTTGGTCTTAAATCATGTGAGGGATTTTGTTGTTGATAGACTTCATATGTATTATAACTCCATCCAAATTTGAGCTAAGAGTCGTGGAAAGTTAATCAAATTGCCTTTCCATCTCAGCCCTTCGCTTTTCTTGATTCTCCAACAACTTCTCAAGCATGTTGGTGATGTTTTCTTCATTTGAGGTTTGAGAAGATTTAACTTCTTGATTTTCATACTTTATCTCCCAAGGTTGGTATCTCTCACCATATCTATATTGGTTTCCTTGGCCAAAGTCTCCATGTGGTTGATACTCCAATGAGGTGGTTCGTTCGTAAGTTCTTTCACAAGATGTGGAGCTTCTAGATATCATCCTTTCTTGACTCTCCAAAATAGCCTTCATTATTACTTCCAAATCAAGAGACATGATCTTCCTCTCTTATGAATGTACCTTGCAAAAGAACAATCACTTGAAAGAAATTAGTAACTAAACAAAACAAAACATAAGAAAATACAACTTAGCCTCAAAAAATTTTGAAATTGTAATGATAAATCTACTTAGTTTTCTGGCAACGACACCAAATTGATAATGCGTTTACACACACACTAATTGATCTATTGTGTAAACATTGCCACAATAGAATGGCATGTCATTGTAGCACTTTAAGATCAAATCCGCAGAGTATTAAAGATATAACACTTAGAATACGCAAACTTTCTTAACCTAAACAAATAAGAAGATAGGTGATAGGTAACAAACTAAGATCCTAGAAATATAAACAAAGGTGATCTCAAATCTAATCAAGAAATAAATACAAGAACTAAAATTTCAATCAAATGATAAGGATAGATCGATGGATAAAGATACTCAATATAAGGTGATCAAGGTTCAATCTAGGATGCTTCAAAGAAAACAAATAATAAGTCTATAGGTCTAGATTTCATTCAAAAAGACTAATCCACTATCATAACAATAATAACTATGTCAATGATGCATTAAACATCAACTGTCGTTGGCCCAACAACATTCAGCACGAAACAGTGTTGTGTTAGTGCAATTAAATTCTCAAAGATTTTTAACTCATAACACTATTTAAGTTTCATGAACTCAGTGGGTATTCTGTGTTAGCAAGTGACATCAGTTCATCATTGTTGCAGACCATAAAGACCTTTGTTGGTATAGGTTTATGTTATCTCGACGAAGGTGGTTTGGTCCGTGAATCTATAAAAATGGGTGTGGTGGTTAGTTTGATGTATTGATTACTCCTCGTGACGTCAAATACACTGAGTTCAAAAGTCCCTCCTTCTCTGAGCAGTTGTTGGAATGTGTTCAACTGGTGGACGCTAAAACATGCTTGAATCAGCGTGGACTGCATATAAATGAACACAGAAGAAATTAAGACAATCAAACGTTTCTATTCAAACAATATCTAACGATGTAACTTCGATGTAAGAATATAACAAATTCAGTGTAAACAAACATGTACCTTCTCGTCCATCAAAACCACATTAATCACATAAGTTCACCACCTTTAATTTTTTCACTTTCTTTGCTTCCCAGAAACAAAGAACTGGGTCATAACAATCTGCTTGCGTCAACCAGCCTTCAGTCAAACAGAAGCACTTGAGGATTCACCATGATTGTAGAGAAAAATCGAGTGAGAGTAGTGGATTTGCAGGCTGGGTTGGGTTCATATATATAGTGTATAATTTTGGTTACGAAAGCAGGGGAGCTGGAGGGATGAGAAAGCGGTGGATCAGTTTGCTTCAATGGCATCATTAACATCAAGTTCTTAAGCGTTTGGTAGTGGAGGTTTTTTTTTTTAATTCTACGGTAACAAATCAATCGGTGATCGTGAACTTTAGGTGACAGAGATAAAAGAAAGGTGTATTGTTGTTGATGAGTCTATTGTCCTAATTCAAATGACTCAAAAACATATTATTCCATTTCTGCATGTGATGATTCAGAAAAGTTAAAATTGGACCAAAGGGATACGAAGAACAATGAATAAAAATAAAGACTATAATATGATGATCCATAACGAAAATCTGGATGTCGTTTTTAGTAAGGGACCGTGGCATTTTCTTCCCCTTGAAATTTTTTTTTTTTTTATTGTATAAGATTGGTTTAACTAGAGAGAAGAGTGTGGATCTGGTTCAGGCTTTGCCGAAATATGAGAAATCGTAACAAAACGGAAACATAGAAAGTCGGCTCAGCGGCGCCCACAATCTTTTACCGAAACTAGTTGAAAAACACTTAAGATCGTTACTGGGAATTCGTCAAACAAATCGGAACGCTCAAATGCGTGCAAACATCTGTCAGAACAGACAGACGGTCGTGATGTACCTAATCATCACATGTGCTTTTTATCCTCACAGCGAATCCACGTGTTAGGTCTTATCTCTATAGTATTTAACCAAGCAGGACTAATAACATCAACTTTCTTTTCTGGGTTCAACTGTGATTCTCAATGCCTGGTTACCATAAAAAAATGCCTCCATGATTTTCTTTTTTGGTCAACTGTAATGCCTCCATGATTTTAAATTTGAAAAATATCCATGCGTATTGCTATTCTGCAAAACAGATTAGTTCTATGAAAAAACATGCTTACAAAATCATAACATCATTGTCACTAGTATATCATGGGCTTGATAGAATGAGCTTTAGCTTGTATACTTATGTGGAATTAGCTTTTAAAAAAATTCATGTGGGTATAAATATTTTTACTTTTGGTTGTAAGGTGGAGAAGATTTAATTGTTTCTTTGAAATTTTTCTAAAGCAAAGATATAATTTCTTTTAAGAATTTTATTTTAAGAGCAAAATATATATATATATATATATATATATATATATATATATTTTATCTTTTTTGTAAAGCATGATTTGAAAATATTTTTGTTAAAGTGGTGTAAAAATATTCTATTCTTCTTCTAAAACACTTGTTAATTATCACCTAGATACCAAATTGCATCACTTAATATTAAAATTAATAAACTATTTTATTAATCAGAAATTTTAATAGATCGGTTTAATTAGATTTTTTATTTAAAACATGTTTTGATATTAGATTATCAAATTCTAATGTTATATCTACTTGTCTGACAATAAAAAATATAATTATTTAATTATTGATAGATATATATATTCTTATGGTAACTACATAACTTAAATAGTTAAGAATTAAATGGAGTATACTATACATGTCTGATTATGAAATGACATAAAATTAGCATAGGAATACGACAAACATGCATTTAATGTTTTTTGTCAGCCATGAACAAAGTTCTTAAATATCATCGAACAAGTTTGACTTTATTTTGAACTTTGTAATCAATTTTTTTCCACACAACGAACTCAGTTCCTTAGTATAGAAAATAAAACTAATCACATGTTTTGTTCCTCAAATCCAAATTGGGAAAATCCTTAGAACAGACGAAAAAAATCATTTTGTGCAGCCAAATACCATTTTATGTCGGCCGTTGAATCGCTCACCAAACATGAACTCATGTAATAAGTCTTCTTCGTCGGCCATGAAGTATCACGGCGCGTGTCCATCCCAAGCGGCGGAGACCAAACACGAGTTTATGATGCCAAACGCCAAACGGGAACTCCGGTCACAATCCGACCACAATACCCATCAATCGAGGGCGGCTCAGACGAAGAAGAAGAAGCCTCGAACATCGTCGTTTCTGTGGAATTGGGTTTAACCACAATCGAAACATTCACGATTCCACACTTATCACCATACTCATCTCTTAATCTATAGCTCAAGAAATTCAAATGACCTTCATGTGAATACCTTCCCATGAAATCTGCCGCCGGAATCTTAGCTTCTCCGAGCTTCTTCTCACGCGCACAACGTGTTCGATAAAATACCTCAATGGAGATAAACTGTACACTCCCTTTCATCGGCATCTCCGACTTGTAGTTCCACGTTGGATTGCTTCCTCCCGAGTCGTCCAGATTCGAAGTTCGAAACTTATCGCCGATCCTTGCGACGGCGAAAGTCTTTTTCTTCTTAATTAGTCTCCGGTTAATCTTGAGCCCCTCTGCTGATCTTATGTCAATCTCAAGTGTTTTTGTCATTGTTGTATACAACAGAGGATCTATTCTGCCTAAATATATCATAGGTTATAATATATTTGTTTGTGTGGTTAGTATGCACAAATGTGTGTGTATGTACGTATTATTCTAATCATTAACCAGAAGTACCGTGGGTGTTATTTATAGAGGAGACAGCATCATAGATCTTAAATACAAACAAGGTCGACGAGGTGACAGGGGAAGTTTAGGATGAAGACGAGACGATTCTTCTCCTCTATTTCCCATTACAGGAATAATAAGGACGTGACATAATAAAAAAAAAAAAAAAAAAAAAAGAGAAGACTTTTTAAATTTATATTTCTCTCTTTCTTTTCTAAAACGAAAATCAAATTACAATAAGAAAAATTCTTATTACAATAAAGTATTTATTCGATGTTTAGGAACATATGTTAAAGAAACATAAAAATGCCTTAATCATATATAATTGGTGCGTTAATAGTGGCATAAGAATTTCTTAAATCAACTTTTGTTGCGCTCGATTCATTTACACTCTTTATTTTGTTTAAGCCTAAACAGAATATAATGGGATTTAACTTTTGCTTTGAATTGGATTCAACAATTATGTATTAGCCATAATTTTAAATTGAATCATTGGACACCACTAATTATACTTTTAAAATTAAAATAAGATGATAAAATATTTGGATATTAAATCAATAAAAATATTTAAATAAATTAAATTTAAATACTAAAAATAATAAAACATATTTAAGGTATAGAAATTTCTATATCCTAAATAAATTTAATTATTTTTAACTATAATATATTATTTGTGCAGTTATTTTTTGAAATTTCACGTTCAAAATTAAATTTCGAATATTATTTATACCTTTAATGAATAAAATATATTAATTACCCAAAAAAGAGAGGAGAATTTTCATCTTTTTGGTACCTTTAATAAATACCATATTATTGGTATCATTATTCAAAAGACAATTTCACAAATACCTTTTTCATTTAAGAGACAAAAGTCTCTAATATCTTTAATATATATTTAGTTTATATATATATATATATATATATATATATATCTAATAAATAATTATTTTAATACTGAAAGAAATAAAAAAAAATAAACATATTTATTCTTTTATAAATATATGTTGTTAAGTTCAAAATTTTTATAAATTCAAAAACAAATTAAAATAAAAGTGCAGGTTTTATCTTGGGAGTATCGATAACAAGATGCAAGGACTTTCAAACAACGATCTTAATCTGTAGATAAAAATTAGTTTCTATATTTTCTATTTTTTAAATTTCTCCTACTTCTAAGGCATGATTATTGGACATGTTTCCATGAAATAAGCTTTAATGGTGGTTGCCACCAAGTCCTGATCACTTATTTTTGACATATATCTAAGAATTCATATGAACTGAGTCTTAATGGTTGTAGCCACCAAGTCTCATTCAAATTCTTTTATTGGGATTATTATGAATCAAGCCTTAATGGTTGTAGTCACCAAATCTTGTTCTGATTTTTGTGTTTTTTAAGTCCTAGCATCCCTTTTGAAATTCAATTTTTTTTTGAAACAATTTTTATTTTTGAAACAATTTTTATTTATATGTTTAGTAGAATTTTAAAATTTATATTACAATCTCACCTCTCAAATCTAAACCCTAAGTGTTAGATTAATTTACCTTAGGATTATAAGTTTTTTCCTATTTAGAAATAAAGATAAAAAGTGACTAAAGTAAACTTAAAAAATAGAATTACAAATGTAGTATTTTAGACAATTTCTCAAAAATAAAAATGAATTTAAAATTTTTTTTATCAGATAAGTAATAAATATATTTTAAAATAAAAAATAATTCTATATATATTGTGTTATTAAATGGAAATGTAGGTTATTAAAAAATTTACAAGTTCAAAAATAGAAAATATTTAAAATATGAATCAAGTAAATTTTTTAACTTATATAATTGAAAAGAGAATATTGTGTGAGTTTTAAGATTTATTTATTAACAATGAATAAAATATACAATTTAATTTTCAAAAAATATATCATTTATGAATTTTCAAATGAAATGTCAATAATAATTTATTATTAATTTATTATTATATTATACATGTATTAATAAATAATTATAAAACTTTTAGACTCGCATATATACATGAAAATTTTAATTTAAATGTATAAATATATATTAAAATTCTGAAATAATTTTTTATATATATAACTGATCTGACTTTAAAAGTATTTGATCGAGATACAGATTTCTAAACTAAAAATAATCAGATATTTGGACTTATATGTTATTTTAATTACTCATAATTTAATCTATTAAAATAGAGTTATCTATTTAAAAAAAATCATTTTGTCATTCTTTAATAACTTTTATTATATTAAAATAATATTTGTAATTAGATATTTGAATAAAATATACTATCACATATAAAAATATTCTACTATAAAACTATTTATTTTTGAATATTTCATGTTTTAACAAAATCTTATAAAGTCTTTTAATTCTTAGATAATTATTGAATTTATAATTATTATTTAAATACTATAAATATAGATTATTTAAATTTCAAATAAAGAAACAGAAAATTATATTATTTAATTATATGATTTTTTAGTTTACAGATAATATTTGTGTTTGTAAATTAAATAAAAGAAATTTAGCTTATTTAAATTATAAATATTAAAATAAATTTTGATCAATGAGATATATATAAAAAATCTAATCCATTTTAATTACAAAACATCAAAAAATTAACAAAACGAGTTAAATAGATCAATTATTCTGTTTTGATTCTTATATTAATATATTAAAAAACTTAAAGGAAAATATTAAAATATAAATAAAGATATATTAATATGCTGTTTTATTAAATTAAATATGAATAAAAATTATAAATAATTATATATTAATAATATCGAACAAGATATATTAAGTGTATAGTATGAACACCAAATTGTAATAATATTTTTTCAATTTGTCATAAGTATTAAATATAAATAATTATAGAAATGAAATATACTAACGTGGATGTATAGATTAAAGTCTAGTTCACTTTTTCAATTTGGATGCAAATTCTCGAGAGTTGAAATTTTAAGACAATCTAAAGAAAAGAATCACAAATTGAAAAAACATATATATTAAATATAAAAAATTATTTAAACATCTACTGCAATTTTTGTCAAAGAGCAAACCCACGCTTTTTTAACATGTTTGTGGGTGGATGTTCAGTGGCTAGGCCTATAGGGTGGTAAAACACAATACTAATAAGAGTTTGTATTGCTTTGCTTTTGTCTTGGTTTCGACCGACCTTTCCGATTAGTTCAATAGGAGAGATCTAGTCCTCAACACGTCGGTAAAAAGTGACAACTCAATCACAAACATACGTTAAATATAGGGGATATATATATACGCAAGACCGGTCTAACTTTTAGAAAAAATATTTAGTATTTTATTCTAAAATACAAATTTATGTCCACATCCTACATATAATCTTTTTTATAATGTCTTACATATAACTAAAGTTTTGTATAAAATTGGAAAATCGTAATAGATTGATTCCTTTTCTTTTATCCTGGACTAGGAGCATCTCCTAGAGACTTTCAAACCTCAAATTTTGGGATTTTTGACTCTTTAATAAATTTTCAAAAAAGTATTTATTTGTCAATTTAATCTTTATTACTACAGTATATTTTATAACTATTTTTGTCTGAAGTATTCAAATATATCTTATATATACATATATATATATATATGTATATATAAAAATAAAACACCTAAAAATGCTAAAATAATACTAAAATGAAATACTAATATAAAACAATAGTACTTCAATAGAATTATTTTTTCACATAATAATTATATTACATTGAATAATATATTGAATAATATATTACAGATTCAAGAATGTTCAAGCATAAATATTGTGTTTAATTTTTTTAATGTGTAATATTATCTATCTATATAAGTTTTAGTGATTATAATTAGTTTATATTAAAATTGGGGACTAAAATATAAATAGTATAAACTTTTCAAGATAAATTTAAGATTTTTCCTTAAAGCAACTTATCTTCAAATTCTTATTTCGAGAATTCATTACCCTTAAAATGAAGTTCCTTTTTAGATGCTCTGAGCATGTATATATATGAACATATATTAAATTTACTTCCATGATCACTGATTATGACTTGATGAATATGTAATAACTTTATAAAATAATCTTAACATCACTGAGTGAACAGTTTTTTTTTAAACAAAAAGTATAAGACCAACTCTACTGAGATACCAAAATATCAAATAAGATATAATTTCATCTCTATTAGAACATTTAAAATTACATCATCTTATCAAATTTGATGTAGAATTATACTATTATATTAAATTTTGTGTAACACAATACATCATACCAAATATTAAAATAATACATTTTATTAATTTTTATTTAATTATAGATAGATTAATTAGTTTTAATTTATATTTATAAAATATCATATTATTTTGTATGTTTTATTTGTATTTTTTTACATTATTAAAGCATTATACTATTATTGTATTTATATTTAAATTAAAAAAAAATATTTAAATTAAAAAATAGTTAAATGTAACAAAATAAGATGTTGTTCATTTTAAATGTATAAAATTTAAATTCGGATAATATGTTTATAGAATAAATAAATAAGTATACAAATTAACTAAAAGAAAAAGAACATATATAAATAAACATAAAATACAATTACTAAATTTTAATAAATAATTATAAAAACTAATGTGATAAATATAATTAGTTAATTATAAAAATAATATATTAAATTATCAAAATTAAAAAAATAATAATATAAATGTTATTCTGAGGTAAAATTTGATGTGGTGATTGAAGGTAGAAAATAAAATTTAACATCAAAACACCAAATTTAGCGTAATTTCAATAACAAATTTGGTGTTATGGTTGGAGCTGTTCTTAACAACAAAAATGTTAAATATCCGACTGATCCAGCAGTGTGATCAATGCGGCGGGTTCGTTGATTGTTAATAAACTTCTTCAAACAGCTAGGAAACAAGTGTAAGACGAAAGTATTTGTATATTTCTTTTGAGAGACTTACAGTAAGGGACATAATATGATTTTATGTATCGCTGAGAGATACATAGTTAAGTTCAAACATATTATGTGAGCGGTTGTATATTCTATGATGGAATTAACTTTATTTTTTATTTAAAGAGAAATATGTTGTAACTTAATATGTG